TCAAGACCAACCGCTCATCATAAATACAAAGCAGGCAGCGCTTTGTCAGTTGCCCCGCTCTGACACTTTTATTGGCTCTCGTGTCGCTGAAAGGTGCTCAGCAGCGATATGCCAGCAGCATCCTGCAGCTGCTATTCCGCGCCCCCATGCATCCGTGCACCCACACCCCCATCCTTTGGCAACGCACGTCTTTGTGCAACGCAAATGAAATTGAAAATTTTTATGATGCCAACGCAGCCGGAACAAGCTTCCAATTGAAGCGCCCCTGGTGGGGGCCAGCGAGCAGATGAGCAGTGGCTGCGGCTGCGCTTGTTTGGAATTCTGGAAATTTAAGCAGCTGTATAAAGTTAGTTAATCTGCTGCTGATTAAGAGGCGCCCAACTTCTTGGCATTTACGGCATCGAGGGCTCGGCCCGTATAATTTTAATAGCCACCAATGGGCGACACGCGCGGCTCCGGCTTCAGAGCCTGTTTCCAGCTCGCATCTTTATGAGCGTTTGCTCCTTAACCAAAAACTGCAGCTTAAATATTTTGTGCAAAAACTGAAGCAGAGCCAGGCGAATTTCCACGCGCTAAAAGTAGCTGCCAAATAACAAGCTTAACCGCAAAACTTTGAAATAAACTTTTGTTGCTCATAAGGTTGTTGTTCCTCTTCTTCTTGTTGTTTTTGCTGTTGCTGGCAAAATAATTCAACGTGCGCCCGCGCGAGCGGCATAACTATAACTTCCGATTCCGCTGCCAACCAAGGGGCAGCAGGGGCAAAGGGGGCGTTGACTGGTTGAAGTTACTGTTGCGGGTGCGCCATGTAATACAGTTAAATATAAATTCAAAAAATATATAGAGTTTGTGCAACTTTTCGCTCTGCTCTGCACTTGCCCCGCTTCTTATATCTTCCATACTTTTTACTTTTATTTGTTACTTGTGCAATTTGCATGAGCGGCAAACACCCACGAACAACTAACAAGTCCTGTTTGGTGGCAGCAACAACAACAATGGGAGTGGCAAGCAAACTTCCGGCTGATGAATAAGTGTCTGCGTGGCCATGTGGCTGTGTGTTGGTGGCGGAGGGTGGGGGGTGTGGCCGTGGGGCGTGACTATTGCCATAGCTGGTTGTTTGTTGTGTGTGTGCGTGTTTAGTTTGTTTAACTGTACAAAAAAACGAAGAAAATAATAATAAAAACAACTTCCTAATTGCGAAAATAAAAATCAACAACTGCCGCAACAGCAGCAGCAGCTACAACAGCAACAATAACAATTAAGCGCGAACAATGGGCAACTATCGAGGCATAAGTAGCTACTCATAAGACTGAAAACTCGAAACAAAGATATAGCAACGCCAGATGTGTGTGTGCCAAGCTGCCAGTTTAACAGAGTCCCATGTCGGGACATGGTAATATTAGCCCACATTATGCTCAATTTGGCACTGTTAATTCAGCTACGATCATGTTATGGAACCAGTGCTGCCAAGCAAATAGCTTTCTGTTAGGTGAAGAGCTTTAACAGAAATGATGTTGCTTAACAAGCAGTCTGCTAGCAATTTGACTAAAATTATTATTTTAAATTATATAGATAAGAATTTGCGCTAATATGCGAACGCATTGACCATTGTAGCACTGGGGTATGGCATTGGCATAGCATCGCAGTCTGGCATAAATTTAACGCAGAACAACTCGGACTTCCGCTCTGACCGAGCGCCATGTTGTTATGCAGCCTGTGCGGACGTTGCCGGGCCGCAATGCTGTCTATGTCTGGAATTGCGAGCGTGTGCGTGAGCTTGTGCGTGTCTGTGTGTGTGTGTGCACAAATACGGTTTAACAAAAAGTAAGTGGGCCCAGGGCTTACAGCAATGCCGGCAAGCGAACAAACAAACCAAATGAAGTTATACAAACTCTGATAGCGGCAACAGCAGCAGCAGCAACAGCAGCAGCAACAACAATCACAACACCAACAGCAGCCTGAGTCCTGAGGCCTTAAAAAATGTCGGCTCATATTAATTTCTGCTATCTCAGTGACGTTTCACATGCGTATTGTTGTTGTAGATTTACATTGTTGCTGTTGTTGCTGTTGCTGCTGCTGCTGTGCGTTCGCGTGCGCGACTCCAGCAATAAATTTGATTTGTTTAGCAATTTGTTGCATATCGCATTGCGCATACGCCCCGTGCATTCATCTAGACGCAGTCACGTCTGTTGTCGTCGTTGCTGTTGCATTTACCCTCTTTCTATCCCTCGCCATCGCTTGTGCAGTTGCTTTAACGATGAATAACGTGTTTTGCATTGTTGTTCTTTTCGCTGCCAACTGCCAACTTTATGCGACATTTTATGCACTACAACTGACAATAATTTATATTGAAATATGTCTGTATATTCTCTGTCTGTCTATGTGTGTGTCTTAGTTGCGTATACATGACGGCTACGCAACATTTAAGCATGGTCCATAGTCCATATAGTTGTGTAAATTGTACTTTTATCCAGAAAGTCATTTGACTAACTTAAGTAATCTATTAACATTTATTTACACATGAATAATTGCGTGATCTAAATGAAATAACATAGGAAAATCATATTTTTTTATTTAATATAAATTATCTTTTCATTTAACAAATGCATTTCTAATATGTCTAAATGATGCATAACTCCTGGCAATTGGCAGCATTTGGAACAAATTGTTCCACTGCGACCAACTTGCACTTGTCTGTGGCCGCTTGGTGCCGCTCAATGTCTTGCTGGTTGTGTGCATTTTAATAATTAATAATAATTTAGCATGCACTTAATTTTAATTATAACTCAATTAGGTCAGAGCCGTTACAATTTAAGCACCGAGCAGTGCCAGCGTTGCTCGTAATGAAGAGCGCGTGTAATTAAACAATTTTCGCTGGCCACAGGCGGGACATGGTTTTCGGCGGACAAGACGCTCCACTCGGTTATGTCGCTTGGATTCGTAGCCTGTCATTGTCCTTGCCGCTGTTCGCTTCCCGCCAGCCGCATCATTAGGGACGCTTTGTGTGCAAATTTGATTTCATAACATTTTGTCAGTGTTTCGCCTCGATTTGGCGCCTTTACGATGCACATAAATTTTACGACCAAGTTGAACTTATAAATAGTTGACGAACTGGCGCACAGCTATACCACAGCAGTCAAGATGAAGTGACGATGACGTTGACAAAGCTGATGAGCGGATGTCGTTAAAGAGAGGCAAAGGGAACAACACCAGAGAATCATTTGTGTTAAATTTATTGAATGTGGCCAGCGAAATTGTATTTATTTATTCATTTGGAAGTTTTTCATGCGTTTGAATAAAGTTGTGAAACACATCATCTCGAACTTTATAGAGAAATTATAAGTATAGGGTGTGTATAAAAAGGTAAACTTTGCTTGACTATGGCAGGCGGCTTTAATTGGTTGTGAATTGTAAGCAAAATATATCTTTATTTATTTATAGAACTGCTTTGCGTCTTACTTTGGCGTGCTATAACGTTCTCCTTACATCTTCATAACTTTACTTATGAGAGGTGAGTTTAACTGGTTGGGAATTGCAAACAAAATGTATTGCTTTGGTATTTTATATTGCTTTGTGCCTTACCTTAGGCGTGTGTCTTTCTTGTAACATCTTCAAACCACATTTAGTTTTAACTTTCTCGAGGTATTATTTGTTCTTAAATTTTATTTGCATATATCATATATCATATATCTTACTATGGTAAATGCTTTTTTTAAGGCCCGAAACAATTTCATAAATTTATATAACGTGCACAGTTTGATTTCGGCCTGAGCGTAAACAATTTGAATGCCATTAGGCAAAAGGCTGGGAAGAAATAAAATTGAAATTCACATATCACATGCCCATATACACATATACACATATATGTATAGGCATATGCATATATGTATATAGTGTGTATGTATGCAGCAGCAGCTTTAATGTGCATTCCAAATGTAAACGCGTGAAAATGCTGAACAAAAAATCATTTTACCAGAGAGTAAAATCGAAAAGAGCGAAGAAGGTGAAAAAAATAAATAAAACTTCATATCTGATTGAATAATAATGTGTGCTTAAGGATTTAATGTGCTGCTGGCAGCAGCTGCTGTTACGCTTTCAGGTCTCAGGCCCAGATCAGAGCAGGCCATTTTATTTTTACTTTTTGTCTTCTGACTTCCGTGTGGCGCTCTCTCTTGCTGCAGTAAATAGCACTTGGGTTACGAAAAAAAATGCAAAATTACAAAAACAACAAACATCGATGGGCTGGGGCTTTGCGCCCACTAGGGAATTTGCTGTTTGCCTGATGCTGATTGCCAAAAAAGTAAAGAAGGGCACATTGAAGCCAGCGCTAGAGAACTACTTGTAAATAAACACACACACACGAGCACACACGTACTTACATGTATACAATACAATACTTTGACAGGACACATTTACTAGCAAGAAGAGCAGCAGAAAAAAATTGAATTTTCTTATCGTACGTTTTCAAATTAACCGAAAGCAGCGCCAACAGCAGCCCCACAGGGCTGCGTGTCAGGCTTATTTAAATGTACCCCCACCCATCCAGCTCCACCCACCCCCTCTCATTCACCCATCGAGCGGTGTCCCCATTGCGTTTTGCTAGCCATCATCATTAGCAGCACATTTAGATAGACACCCACATGTGAGATCTTTTGGCATTTACTCGCACCCTACGACCACAACAAATAAAATGGACTCAAACAAGGGTATACGACGTAGTCGAGTGCCACTGACTGCGCAATACCCTTTTCGGCATGCCTGAGATCAAAATACCCTTGCTAAAATTTGGCTTAAAAGTACTTCTGTACAAAAAATTTACTCTTAATTGTTCCTATGGAAGCCATATAAATGACATTATTGAACGTTTGAAGCAGCTTAGTGAAGCACGCAGCTTCTGAGTTTGGCCCAGATTCCTGCTATGAGCCTATGGCGTCAGGCGCTTGTGCGTTTTTGTGTGTTTAAAGGGAATTCTCAAACACTTGACTACCTCCATAAGCGTAATATCTGGTTTCAAATAATTTTAATTTTATATCGTATTTATCGTTCTCTACAACCGAATAACAAATAATACGTATGGTATTCCATATAGTATATACCGTAGTATGCCCGATAATCTGAACTGGGTTTGGATTGAAACCTGCCGATGAAATCGATTAAGATGCAGGTCAGTCGCAACGTCTGGGGAATACTCAAGCAGCAAGCGGTACATTTTCTGCCGGATAACAATTGGGACAATTTCCAAATCTGTTGCGAAAAAAGCCTGGCGACGTTGGAATATTTGCGCTTTTCAAGTCGTAAAGTAATATTTCCAAATACCAATGTGATACAGCATCTTTTGGAGTTTCTGATGAGATAAATTTTATATTTTCGCCATATTTTCCATTTGTTTCAGAACATTCTACGCCATCTTTTTTGCAAGGCACAACACAAAATAACCTCGCTAGAAAGAATTGGTCGACATATGATTTTGTGAATGGCAAAACTGACTGCTTTTTAAGACATATTTACCAAGCTCTTCAATTTGGAGCTTCACTTTTCTCCTCACATATCTGCAAATAGGTGTTGCATCCGCGTGCACAGTTTCTTTGTCTGCCAAAATTTCTCCAGGCCTATGAAAACCAGATTAAAAATACCCAAGCAAATGGTATAAAATATATAAACCAGTCTGTCTTGCAGTCTGGGCTGAAATTGCTGTGGGATAGACTCGATTAAAATGAATATCTAGTCTGGCGTGAAGAAAAACAAACTTTTTTGGCTCCGGGACATTCTCCTTAAACTGACCCGCCACATTGCCACTAGGCCTATATCTGGCGACAACGAAGTTCTTACGATTACCACTGGAATTGACTGTTTGTTATGCGTTGGAACATTTCCTGATTATTGTTTTATATACATACCTACTCTGGCCAACACCCATAGTTGTGCTTGATTTCCAAATTAATTGAGTAAAATGCCCAGTTAATAATGAGAATCCAGGAGACCCATATTTGTAATCCTTGATTTCATCGTACCACATTTTCACACATGTCAGTGGATTTTTTGTCGTGTAGCAGAGATTTTCACCATAGTCACCTTTTGAGTGTTCTAGACTATCTTTTTCGACAAGCAACTTTAATTTATAGTTCAGCATTAAATGTGTCCCACAAACAATTGTTGCAATTACTTACTTCAGCATACTTTTTACACTCCTCGCTTAATGTAGGGTCTAGCAGGAGCTTGGGACAGCCGTGATTAGCCCGATATTTATTATGCTCGAGTAGAAACTCATTCTCAAAATCCGATTTAACTGATTTACACTAAAAAGCATATTGAATGTATAAATTCCAATATTCTGTAGCTTGAAGGACGAACGGATGGACATTTGTCGATAGAATTTAAAAACATACCAACAATAAAAGCTCTGTCATCCACAGCGCCAAAACTATGCCAGTGTTCATGAAGTATTATACATAGAGAATTTAAAACTTATATTTAATTTATTTTGTATTTTTTTTAATGAAAAACAATATGCTTACAACATTTCAAGTGTTACTTTGATGACTTCTACTAACACAAAAAGTTAACTTAGTATATAATTTAGCATAAAAAATTCGAACAAAAGATAAAAGAAAACGAGTGGAGAATGCCAAACTAGGTGGTACCCTGAACCTTCTTCTACTAACACCTAGGGGGGAAAGTTGCTATAAAATGAAAGATACATGATCTATATTTACTATTTGAGAAGCTACATGTCAGATTTTGTTACCTCGCTCATAAAACTTAAGATATTTTGTCAAGAAGCAGGATTTCGATATCGATTGCTTTGAAACGGGGCAAGTTATCGATTATTGCAATCAAACTCGTAATCCGCGGGCGCTAGGAGGAGCTACGTTCAATATTAAGTCCCTAGCTCTTATAGACAGATGGACGGACGGACAGCCAGACATTGCGAGATCGACTCGGCTATTGATGCTGATCAAGGAAATATATACTTTATATATATTTCGGAGATGTTTCCTTCTGCCTGTTACATACATTTGCACAAATACATTATACCCATTTTCAATGGGTTCAGGGTATAATTATAATTCTATATTGCAGACAATTGAATTTGTATAAGTCATATTAATTTCATTTTATAGTAGAATTTAAATCGAATAAACATATGAACCCATACAACTAGGCGTAACTGTTTCAACAGCTGGAAGATACCGACTGACTTTACTATAGCTTAAGGTCGTATATTTTCTTATAGAAATTTGAATGCAAGAGCTGGAAACATTATCGACAGCGGCAAAACATGTTTGTAAGAGATGGGCTTAATAGGAGAGCTGGAAGCGCTGCAATTGGAGTTGACTTAGTTTATGGTTACTTTTTTAACACAAATCCTTAATCAGACATACCTGATTTCCTTCGGGACATTTTCCATAAACATGCCTTCAATATTGCCTCGAGGAATAATTTTCACAACCACAAAGAAGACGCCAGAAATACTAAAATTTAGTGATTACTATGCGTTTCGTATTTGAGGTCAGCTGATATACATACTGTAAGCACTTTCCAAGACCGAACTCTTTAGAACTTTTCCAAATCATAAGAGTATAATATTCAGCCTCTTTAATATATTTAGCCTCCTTATAGTCGTAGTACTTTTCTTGGTAGTGCCAATCATCTACACATTCTAATGGATTGTATGAATCGCATAAGAGTTCAGAAGTCTGATTATCGCCAGACCTTTCCAAAGAACCCTTCTGGCAAAGAAGCTAAGAATATATTATTTATCTAATTATCGGAAAAATTAGATTAATTACTTTGGCATGCTCATTAGCTGATGCGCATAGATCTTCATTTAGATGGAGCTTGGGACAGCCGTGCAGTTTTCGGAACGTGTTAATTGTAGCCAAAAAAACATCCTTGAATTCATTTGTGGACCGAATACACTATAAAATATAACAGACCTATAATACGGCATCCAGAGTCAAAAACTTTGAAATCGAACATTACCATACCGATGCATAGAGCAATACCGACCAAAGCGCCAGCATCTTTCGAAACTTCATCTTGTGATTTAGACAATTTAAAGGGGTTTTCTCTTATTTTTATATATTTTTTGTTTGACAACAATAGCTGATTATAAATAATAATACCTATAGATCCAATATTTGAAGTGATTACTATGATGACGCCTTATAGTACATTTTCTCTGGGAAAGTAAAACATCTAAATGAACCACGGTTGGTTATTATTATTTAAAATGACAACTTCAAAGACAATCTTAATCATTTAATCCATAATCGAATAATTTACCAATTCCTTCAAATACAATTACAATTTTGAACAGATGTATAAAAGAGGTATGGAGGAAACATCTCCGGTCCCATAAAGTATATTCTTCTCTTGACGAGGAGCTGAGCTGATCCAGCCATGTAGTTATGTTCGTCTTATATATAAATAAATATCGATTGAGGCATTGTTTTTTAAGCAAAACTTCAAATGTATAAAGCTATATTTCAATTTTTCCGCATTCCTCAAGCTAAAAACAAGCTCACTTTTGCAGTTTAAGCCTTGCGCTTTGGGGTATGCAGGCATTTCTATGTCATGTTTAAGGCCTGAAATAAATTTGAATGTTAATTTAAAAAATTGAAGCGCCAGTGCTGGAAATAACCTTGAAAATAAGGCAAAAGGTTTAGAAGTTTATAGTCTGTGATGAAAACTGCAATTAAATTTGATTAGTTGGGAATTGGCATTCTAGGCCAGCGCAATGTCCGACGAAGTCTTACCTAACTGGCAACATCCATTAACAATCCGTCAATATTTCCTTTATCCAGCGTCGTTGCAACTATTTCTATCTTCGCTGCAATCGATTGTTCGGTATCCTTCGGTATATTAAGTATATTTTATTCCTATTTCTTTACTTTTCCAACGCCAAAGATTACACTAGATTTGCGTGAAATGTTCGCTAGCAGGTGCTTTCACTGTACAACTTTCCTGTACAAGAAGTCCTTTTTTTTTGGTGTGATGCATATATTTTTCCCATATGCTGCCTATTGACTTTGAGCGTTCCAATGAATCTTGTATTACCAGCTCCTAAATGGCATTGAACAGTATTATACGAAATGTCCAACAAAGTGGGAAATTAATTTACATACATTGGCATATGTTTTACATTCAGCGCTTGGATCGCGATCCAGATTAAGGTTGGGGTAACCATGGTTTTGTCTTAACATATGATATTTCAGAATATCAATTTCCAAATCAGCTTTATTTGGAATACACTGTAAAATAGGGCTCGTTCATAACTATGTTAACCAGAACCAGGAACTAAGTTAAACTTACCAATAACAACAGAGCCGCTGTCCACAGCCAAAAAACTCTTTCACTTTTCATTGTGGTGTAGTTTTTCATAGAAATTTAAGAATTATAATATAAATCATGCAATCATTAGTTTCTAGTAAATTCAAGTGTTACTTTGGTATCTGTTCTCTGGACAAGTTACTAAATCCAGAAATTGCAGAGGGTATTTTGAGTTCATCATTAAATTTGTAGAAGTCAATGCCAACCACACAAAGTATATAGAAATAATCTTGCTCATGTCGAAACGGGGTCCTGTGAAAAAAAAAACGTTTGTTTTCTTTATAAGATATGATAACAATTTATTTAGTAAATATATTTGGCTTGCCAACTTAATGTTTAAAATAAATCAATCCCAGCACCAAATTGTGGCCATACTCTATAATGTGGGCTATCATCGGGTATATTACCCAGCCCAACCTTACTACCCATGGGGAAAGGCAAACAATTTTGTTGTTCTTCTACCGTTGACGCTTTACGCTTAATGCATTTTGGCATTAAGGTCCTTAAATGCTCATCGCGTTGCCAGTTGCCATGTGGCGTTTGACTGGCTGACGGATTATCCAAAACGCTAACCACTGGGGCGTGGCAAAGGGGGATGCAGCTGACGGCCGGTTGTTAGCAGTGGCTCTTCAATTATTTGAAAGCTAGCACGCAGTCAGAACAGAGGATAATGCGCTGCGTTCCCATAGTCAACGGCAGCAGGATAACTCTATTAGTGTCATACTCGCACGCACACACACACACACACCCACACACACACACACACGCGCGCGCATACGCCGACAAACAGATGCACATACGCACATGCTGCCAGATATTAAATTTTTTTGCTCAGCCAGTGTTGGGGAGTTGCGCCAATAAAAGATGGCGAACAGCCAAGCTCGTTCCAGTGTCCTGTATCTAGTGTCCTGGCATTGACAGCTTCAATGTGTCTGTGTGTGTGTGTGTGTGTGCTGTGGAGTGTGTGCACGAGGGTGTCGAACGATGGATGAGTTGTTGCCGCAACGCCTGTGGCTGATGCTTTGGGCCATCATTGTTGACAACAATATCAGCGACAGCAATTGCAACAACAACAGCAGCAACAACAACCGCAGTTGGCTAAAACGCGATTGTCAGTTGCCTGCATTGGAAACTGCTGCTAGTTACTTTGTCCTCCACGGGCCTGGGTTGTAAAATGTCAATTTGTGTCCGTGACGAAGATTTATCGTGTGCAGCGCCTCGAATTTGATAGGCCTGTTTAAATCTCGCATTCATCCCATTCATATATAGCTCTATTTAGAAATCCGACTGACTGGCTGACATTTTTACTGTAGTCATTCTTTGTGTATCAAGATTAGTTGGACAAAGATTCAACTCTTTGCCGAGGATAAAAAATGCACTTTTCGCTGCATACATTCCTCTGCTGATGGCCAAGATAATATATGGTCGGAGAAGCTTTCTTCCGACTGGAATATGTATTTAATTAGAACTAACCTCCAAAATATTTTAATTAATCATTTTGTTATATGCGTTGTTGTATCTACACTAGAACCGAATGTCGATCACTTTCGGATAGACCGTTTTTCTTATTATTATGTTATTTTTATTCTTAAAACGAATTCACATTTTTTAAGGAGCACAGGTAAAGTATTATTCAAATTTAAAGTATTGCAGCACCAATGCTGGAAATAACCATGAAAATAGGAATATATATTTAGAAGTTTTCAGTCTGTGCTCAGGACTGCAAGTAAATATGATTAAAATTAGAATTATCTTACTTGCCCGAGAAAAACTCACCCGTTTGCCTTTGGCACATTCTCCTTGAACATTCCCTCTACATTGCCGGCGGGCTTGTATCTAGCGACAACATAATTTTTTCCAGTTGCGCTGCAATTGATTTTTTTTTTTGGTAATTATTATTATTATTCATTATTATTATTCATTTTTTTTCATTTTTTCGTATGCTCGTTCGCAAAGATGTGTGGAAAAATCAAGATTACAATCAACTTTCTTGTACTGCGAACAAGCATTACGCAGTCGGTTTTACCCGTCTGCATTATTTGTTTATTCCTACCTCTTGGCTTGGCCAACGCCTAACACTTTGCTAGACTTCCAAATTACTTGTGTGAAATGCCCGGTTGCGGGCGAATACTTGGCTTTGCCATAGTCGTAATCTTTGATTTCGTCGTACCACATTTTGACACACGTTGTCGGGTCCTCTGTTGTGTAGCAAAGATTTTCACCATATGGTCCACTTGAATGATCCATGGAATCTTTTCCGGCAATTTCCTAAATGACATTTAACAAAATTATATGAAATATCCATCAAAATGGTAAATTACTTAACATACTTCGGCATATTTCTTACATTCTTCGGAAAAAGCGGAATCGAGATCGAGATTGGGACAACCATGCTTTGCCCTGTACTTATTATGAAGATTAAGGACATCATTTTCGAAATCAGCTTTTGTTGGAATACACTTTAAAAAAGAGACTCGCATATAGCTATGGAAACTCGAAAATTAGCTAAGCTTACCAATAACAACACTAGCGCTATGCACAGCCCGACAACATTTCCAGTCTTCATTATGGTGAAAAGTTTCTTACTTTAATATGTAAAAAAATTCGATTTGTCACGTTAAAATTTTAAAATTAAAGTGTGACAAAAATATGTTTCAAATAATGTTTCACTCATTTCTGTCAAAAGGCACAAGCTACTTTGTTCAGAAATTTAAGAGAAGCGTGCATTTTCCTGATCTTTATGAAATATGCATATACTATCGAGAACCTAAATGCCAATGCCGAGCTCTTATAAAATTGGAAGTATGATTAAAAAATTACATCATAAAATCGATAATTATCGATATTATGCAAATGGAATTAAAACTGACAAAAGAAAAACGTGCTCTGCATATGATAATATAGAATATATATTCCAACTCTGTAGCTTCTGAGATCGACGCGGCTGACAGACGGACGAGCATATATACTATACTAGCGGGTATAACCCGGCCTTGCCCGTGGCACGTATGTTATAAAATCAATGTTTTCAAAAAGCTTTGAAAATGATTTTGAAACTGATCGGACGGGAATCAAAGAACTTTAATGCAAATCGGACAAAACTTAAAATTCACCGAAAAAATCTTTGAGAGGCATTTTCCATCGAAGGAGTTTGAATTCTGCGAAAAGTGTGAAACACGTCTTAAATGATTTTTCTTATAGATCTCCGAAAATGAATTTGAGCGCGAGACGTCACCCACCAAATCTTTGACCTCCATTTCCACCAAGGAGGAACGGATTTTCCTAAAAGTGTGAAACACCCCTCAAATGAATTTAAACAAAGATCTTTGAAAATAAGTTCGAGCCCGATCAGATGGTGAACAAAAAAGTTACATACAAACGTTTTTCGTGATTTTTCCACACTTGCGGGTGGAATTTCCCAAAACCCCGTCTTAACGTGCAACTACATCACATAAGGTAACTACGGTGAAAACTTTAGCTTCCTAGCTCTTACGGTTTGGGCTGTGCGTTGATCACCAATCAGTCAGTCAGTCAGTCAGTCAGTCAGTCAGGACAAACAGTTTTATAGATAGAGATATACTATATATATATATATAAATATTTAGATTCTTGATCAGGACGATTTCCTCCGGCTGCTATTGCAAATCAAGTTATCGTTCAATTGCGTCGTTTCCTTCGATATATAAATTATCGATAAAACAAATCTTAAATAATTGTAACAGCAGCTCGTTAGTGGTTTCAGAGTGTCTTCCAATCGGGCATTCCCAAATAGAGTAATCGTTTTTGTTTTTTGGCTAATTTATTTTTATAAAATTTTTAAAAAGCACAATTTTTTTCAAATTTAATTTATTAAAATGTTTGCAGCGGCAATGCTGGAAATAGCCATGAAAATAGGGTAAAATACTTAGAAGTGTGTATTCTGTGACCAAAACTGCAATCATATTCGATGAAGATTAACATTGACATCCGCGGCATTGGCTGTGCATAAAGAAGACTTACCTCAGCGCCTTTGGCACATTTTCCTTGAACATTCCCTCTGTATTGCCAGCAGGCTTGTATCTAGCGACAACAAAATGTCTTCCACTTGCGCTGCAATTGAATGTTAGCTATAGATTTGGTATATTTTGTATTTTAATGTTCGTTCGCAATGTGAAAGAGAATCTTCAGTGACAAGATCTACTACGTGACAAATCGGAAAACATTCTTGGACTGCGAACGAGTATAACGCAGTCGGTTGTACTCGACTGCAACAGTGTGACTTGTTTGTTCTAACCTCGTAGCTTGGCCAACGCCTAAGGATTTGGTTGCCTTCCAAATTAGTTGTGTGAAGTGCCTGGTTGCGGGCGAATACTCGGCTTTGTCAAAGTCGTATTCTTTGACTTCGTCGTACCACATTTGGACACACAATTCCGCTTGTTCCGTTGTGTAGCACAGATTTTCCCCATATGTTCCATTTGCAGCTGAATGATTCAATTCCTCTTCTTCGGCAAGCTTCTATATGGCAGTCAGCAATATTACACGAAGAGCCCAACAAAATGGATAATTGCTTAACATACTTCTGCATATTTCTTACATTCTGCGGAACAATCGTCATCCAGGTAGAATATGGGACAACCATGCTTCATTCTGAATAAATTATGGGAAATCAGGACATCACTTTCGAAATCAGCTTTAGTTGAAATACACTGCAAAACAAGACTCTTAGATTACTGCGAAGACTAGAAACCAAGTTAAACTAACCAATAACAACACCGCCGCTATACACAGCCCTAAAACGTTTTCAGAATTCATTATTTTTGTTTTACATTAAAATTTAGATTTAAAAAAAACATAAAAAGATCTCTTATTAGTAATTTCCAGTGTTACTTTGTTCTTTACAAATTGCACAGAGAAAATGCACTGAGGAAGACATCTCCAACCACCCAAAGTTTATGTACATATTCTTGTTGAGGGCGATTATCTTGGCTTACTGTCATTTCCATGTAAACCAGTCCACATTAGTCTTTAATGCTGTGGCTGTGTTTCTTCTTCTCGCAGCCTCGTACTATATTTAATTAATTCTGAACTGGCTTGCGTATTACATCCAAAAGAGTATGTATACCACCTTGTCTCCCTATCTCTCTCCCTCTCTCTTTTTAAAATTGTTGGGAATTTGTTGAAGTATTAAGCATAAGAAATATTTTAAAGATGTGTTTACTATACGAGAACTCAAATTCAATTCTTTGTGGTCCCTAGCTATTAAAAGCTGATAGCTCTGCTCCAAAAAAATTTCGATTATTTATATCGATATCATGAGAGTTATCCATTATGTGAAATAAGCTCGAGCTGCCCATGTCTTAGGAGAAGCTGTCTTTAAAATTATTAATCTCCAGCTCATTTAAAGTTCCCGACGGAACTCGGCTGTTGGTGCTATGAATATATGTACTTTATATGCTGGGAAGAGCCTGCAGAAAACCCCTATACCATTTTTAGGATACAATAAATTCGTAAAAATTGACAATTATAAAGATAATATAAACAAATAATTGTTATTGTTTCAAAGTAGTTTACTACATTTAAATGTTCTTCATTAAGACAAATTACTGTTGAATTGCGGGGAATTAAGCAATTTTATATACATAACTCTGCAGCTTTTCGTATAAAATAAACTTCTATTCTTTTCTTTACCCATTGGTATGCACAGCGGCTTTATATAGAATGCGCCAATATGAGTTGTGTGTGGAAAAGCTAGCCGGGGATTTGGTCTAAAAACTAAACTAATTTCAATCGAAGCGACTCAACCCACGTATAGAGATGCTGGGTAAATTTTCCGCGTACACTGCGTTTTCCACATGTGTCCCGTGTTGGGGCCTTGCCCAAAATGCCGGGCTGCCAAAACTTTGGGCCGTGCACAAAGCCGCAGTCTGCGCAACAGCTAAGCTAACCAGCAGCTGCCACATCCCTGCGCGGATAGAGTAGTCGGTGCCCAAGAGGCAGCCGTGACCGACATTCGATGAATTGACCAATGCAACTTGTTATATCTGTGTGCAACAGCGCGTTTCATTTGCTGCCCAGTGTTGGGTAGGCTGTGGTGGGGTCGGGCAAGGGCAGGGTAGGGATACCTTTGAAAGTTTTCCGATTTTGCTAGTTTTTCTGCGATTCGACAGGCAACGTCTGTTTCACCTGTTTGGCTGTGTTGTAGTTGTTGCTGTTGTTTGTTTGCGTATTATTGCCCCTGGGTGGGAAATTGTATATATTTGTGTGCGTGTGCGTGTGTGTGTTTATATTGGTATGCGCAGGTGAGCGTAAATTTAGCGCTGACAATTGTGATTTCGGCATGGTTATGGAAGGTAGGTTGGGCGTCAGAGGTTTTAATTAGATTTTTATTTCATTCTCATTTGCAGCTGTTATTCAACTCATTCAGCGTCCTTCAATCACGCGCATCAGAGAGTTAATGAACTTGTTGTTCATATAACAATAATAAAACCTTTTTTCCTAAAAATAAAAACGTAATCCCAGTGGTATAATGTGCAAAAGAAATGAAACAATCGAAAGTATAAATCATGTGAATATATACATAATAAAAAACATATATTTTTAATAACACGTAAATATTGTTATAAGAGTTTGAACAACATATAACAATAAATTCGACTTAAACTAATAAAAATAACAAGAAAAAATAATGTTATTTCAAGTTTTTTTTTACAAGGGTGGACCCATACACCTCATGAAAATATTTATGTAACAAAGTAAATAATTCTTAAATAAAATGTAAGTCAATTAAATAATATGATTGAATAACATATAACCATATATAGAATTTCAGACACTGAATTTGGAAGCAAATAATAACAAACAAATTCTTGTAATTTTGTGCCTTATATTCCAAGTCCTATTTAATGCTGGCTGATAGTTTTTTTGCACAGTTGTTATATTATTAATCCTTTAAAAAACGGGTTATCAAACTTAAACTTTTTTAAATGCGTTGCGTTGCTACTTAATCTAAAAGAAACTGTCATCAAAAAATGATATTTGCTCATCAGTGCAGGGTATCTCGTAGGTCGAGCTAAAACTTTGAATGTTCAGTAACTTATTTCATTAATTAGCATTAAGCCTCATCAGCATTTGTTGTCCTGCCCATGCACTTCTCAAGTTCTTTAAAGTCTTTTTAAATTCACATTAAGCGTGTTTGTTCTCCGCATTAGCCTCCATTATGAAGATGAATTGTTGCCAGTGCAACTGGGTCGGTAGCTGGAACTGGAACTGAAACTAAAACTGAAACTTTAAACGGAACTGCAAGTGGTTCTGGGTCTGGATCTAAGCGTAACACACAGTCAAGTGTTTACCTTACGCGGCTGGCGCATGCATTGCTTTCTTCTCCTGTTGCCCTCTGACCTCTGTCCCTTGTCTCCTCCTGTCTCGTGTGTGCGTGTGTATTTATGCTGGTTAGTTGCGTCTGGGTTAAGTGCTCCTTAAGCGGTTCTGTAAATGTCATTCATTGTGCATGGCACACACACCCATTCCAGCTGTTGGTGGCTGGAGCAGCTGCTTCAACGGCCTGACTGCTCCTCAATACATTGCACAAAATCTAATCAAAACTAATGAGACGAGTAGCTTTAAAAGGAGTGCAACAAGCGCTGTAAGAACTTGGAAATAATATAGTTTTACGGTTCAATATGTTCCGTCTTAAATTGAAAGAAATATGTATAACTGAATTTTAGCGGAAATAATGCAGCGCAGTAACCAAAGGCCTTAAACTGTAAGCCTAAGATTTCCAGTGGAATATTTTTAGCGATAAATTTCCAGCGGAAGTCTAAAGGGCTTATATTCAATGGAAGATTCCAGTATGAGTCATCCAGGTACAGATTTTAATCAAACAAATTAAATAGTCAGATCTACTGGGTCCGATTTCTACCGGAAGAGGTCCGGCGTAAAATTTGCAGTGGAAGTTCCAGCGTAAACAAAGAGCGTATGTGTCCAGCGGAATATTGAAGCGGGAGATTTGAACGAAAAACATGTGGAAGATTGAAATTGAACTCTTCAGCGTTAATTTCTTCTATTAGGTAAACATCTTCAAACCCAAATTGTAAAAGACCAGAAACATCTCAACATATTTTCCAGTGTATTCATTTTAAATCGGAAAATTTTCTGTTTCTGAAATACCGCTACAGCAAAACTTAGAACGTTTTCTTTTGTTTTCTTGTTGAGCATTGCTTAAATTTTGTATAGTTTAATTCAAATTTTCAATCTCAGCTATACATACTATTTGTTTGTTTTTTGTTTTTCACACCAATTCGTGCATTTAACTCATTTAAACGAGCCAATGTCAGCAGAGTCAATCGAGGCGCAGCCAGTCTGCAAGGCCCCAGGTATGCCCATCTGTGAGCCGGAGGAGACGAGATCCATAGTAGAAGTTTTGGGCAATTTGAACATAGCGCCAGCCGAACCTGTCAAGACCTTACTTTGTGGCCGTGTACATAAGGCCAATGAGGTGGACGAGGAGGCGGAGGAACTAAGTCTAGAGCAGTCAACGGCAGTCGATGAGGAGCTGAAGTTGGAGGACATCAAAGACGAACTAGAGAAGAATAGGGCGCGCGTTGATCTCATCGGCCAGAGGCTGTCGTTGAGCATACCCGATTGCCCCGAGCTGGATGCCTGCATGGACATGCAGTTGGAGCTGAATAAGGACGTCATGCATCCAGAGATTCTCAAGCTGCATCGCAACAATAGCCAGTTACGCCAACAGCTGAGCCAGCTGCAGCGCAGCTGTAAGGCCGTCGATTTGTCGCTGCAGTATATGCACAATAGCCTCTGCCGAGACTTGGAGGCGGGCGCAGCAATGCAGCGCCGCCTGAACGAGCTGGACTCCTTCAAGCGCACAGCAGAGCACGAACAGGCGCTCTGTCGACAGCGCTATCGTCATCTGGAGCAGGACAAGTTCGACTGGAACGATTGTATCGCCTACATCAGCAAAAGGCGTATGGAGTTGCAGCCTTTGCTAAAGAAGTTTGTGCGCCGAACTGAGTATGGACAGCCAAGACACGATGCCATCGAGCTGCTCAATCAAGCCAAATTGGAGGCCAAGGAATTGCACGACTATCTGGCCGAGAACATGTGCAAGCTGAGCCAGCGGGTGGGCCAGTGTGGGCGCCTGGGTGCCGAAATAGGCAATGATCGGCGAATGGCCATGGAGATAGCCGCGTTTTTGCAACGCAACGAGCACCTCTTTAACAGAGCAACGCATTAAACCAAAATCTGTCCGAGATTGTTCAATTTGTCAGAGGCAGTAAAGTTGGGTGTGGCAAGCGCCATAAGGCGACAACAGAGACCACCCAAAGCTCGGCAGCAGTTCATTTGCATTTGATATCGGGGCGTTGGTGGTGGGAGGGAAACGCCTTGATTATGTTGTTGCTGGGCGTTCTTGACCATTTGAGGCGGTCACATCCACGTGACGCCAGATGCTCCAAATGGCGCCATTTTTTTGTTGTTTTGTGTGTGTGTGTGTGTGTGTTTTTCGGGTGTTAGAGCAAAATGTATTTAGCATAAAAATTTACGATAATGCTGGCAGCAACATTGGCAACAAGCTCAGCTGCCGCTTGCCCCAATAGACAAAAACAAGCATTTGGCGTCAAAAAGTACAACAATCGCATAGACAGAATGTGGGCAGCAGACAGCAAAAATCCGATGAGGCCTACATGTGGTCGGCGATGTGGGCGGCTGCTCCTGCTGCTGCCTGTGCTGCGGTTTGGTTGGGCAAATGTCATTGCTCTGTTAACGCAAAAAGTTAAATTAATATTTTTCACACTGTTGCAAAACTTCTCCCCATTTAAATTGACGAATTTTGAGGTTTTAACCGCCGCGTCAAAGTCAACTGCTGTACACAGCTTTCTCCCCTTTCCTCAGCCAGTTTTCCTATTTTCCCCCCCTATTTTCATATCTCACATTTCATATTTCATGTTGCTTGTTGCTGGATTTTTAAAGCAGATTAGCAAAGTTTTCTGCAGTCATTTATTTAAACTTTCTTTTGACGGCACCGCAAAACCACTAACAGGCGAGCGCGGCGGGGTCGGGTGTGGATTTTGTAAGCAAAATTTGATATCAAGATAATCGTATTGCCATGTCGCATAGGTCGTTGACTGCACGAGCAACGTTTGAACTTCTTATGGATGAGCTTCAAATATTTTGAAAGAAAAAAAATATATATTTATTCTAGCCGGATATAAGAAATCTCAAGAGTTTTAAGTCTTTAGATTAAAGGCAAAACAGTTTGTCAAAAAAGATGGTTATATAAATCCCTTCAACCACACAAAACTTGCCGCAAAAACTATTACAATACTTTAAAAAATAAGAAAGCATTCAAGAAGCTTTTTAATTGACAACACTTGAAAATTTGTTGCCATTAGAAGTCAAGGCTAAGCTGTATAAACTTTCCACATGCCAAAGAAAACACGAAACTAAAGTTTAGTTAAGAAAACTATGCGCTTGCTGTGAGGCAAGTTTTTTTTTCCCTTTGAAAAAGTTGACATGTCTGGAATAGGCAAGTTTTATAGCTAAGGAATTAAAGTACATAGGCGTGTCTATTTGACTTCACTTAATAGGTAAACATGCAAACAAGTTGTCTTTTATAATTTGAAAGAATTTATGAAGATGAGTTAAGAGGGCTTAAAACTAGGCAACCCTGAGCATGCAGTGAAGCCTTGTTGAAGGTTTAAGGTGCTATGCTTGCCTAGTTACCTGTATCCTTAACGCACGTTGGAATTTTGTATTGTGTCGCAGGCGTATCAGTATTTATTTTGTTTTAATTATTACTAATGATTATAAAAAGGCAACACAGGACAACACAAATTCAGGCACCAGTCAGGTTTGGGACCAGAGCGGCTATCTTTAAAATTTCTTATTTAGTTCAATTGTATTTAACTAGATATAAATATCTATTGATAAAACAAGCATTAACTTTAAAATTATAAATAAGTCTGATGAGGGGGGCTTAAGTAAAATATTAATACCATTATATATTAGCTAAGTTAAATACTTTTATTACATATGGGATTTCTCTCCAAAATTGCAGGTTTATTTTGCTGGTTGCTCAAAAAGTGACAGATGGAGTGCTCTACAGATTATTTTACATATTTATGATGCATTATCATATAAATATTATTTTATATTATCTCTATATATAAAACTGTTTGTCCTGACTGACTGACTGACTGACTGACTGACTGACTGACTGACTGACTGACTGACTGACTGACTGATTGGTGATCAACGCACAGCCCAAACCGTAAGAGCTAGGAAGCTAAAGTTTTCACTGTAGTTACCTTATGTGATGTAGGTGCACGTTAAGACGGGGTTTTGGAAAATTCCACCCGCAAGTGTGGAAAAATCGCGAAAAACGTTTGTATGTAACTTTTTTGTTCACCATCTGATCGGGCTCGAACTTATTTTCAAAGATCTTTGTTCAAATTCATTTGAGGGGTGTTTCACACTTTTAGGAAAATCCGTTCCTCCTTGGTGGAAATTGAGGTCAAAGATTTGGTGGGTGACGTTTCGCGCTCAAATTCATTTTCGGAGATCTATAAGAAAAATCATTTGAGACGTGTTTCACACTTTTCGTAGAATTCAAACTTCTTCGGTGGGAATGCGATTTAAATATTTTTTGGGCGACGTTTTAAGTTGTGTCCGATTGGCTTCAAACTTACTTTCAAAGCTCTACATAAGAACTTAACAAATACGTATTTCAGCGATTTGGGAAATTACACCCGCAACAGTGGTAAATTGGCTGAAAACGGTTGTATGAAAGTTTTTTATTTACCGTCCGATCGGCCCCAAACTCATTTTCAAAGATCTATGTTCAAATTCATTTGAGGGGTGTTTCACACTTTTTAAAAAATCCATCCCTCCTTGGAGCAAATGGGGGTCGAAGATTTGGTGGATGACTTTTGTGTTCAAATTTATTTCCAAAGATCTATAAGAAAAATCATTTGAGACGTGTTTCACATTTTTCGCAAAATCTAAACTCCTTCGATGGAAAATGCATTTCAAAGATTTTCGGGCAAGGCCGGGTTATACACTCCTTAATTCTCTCTATAACATACCTAGCAATCTTTCAGTGAAGTCGAATAAATGTATATTTGTGCCTTTCAATTTAGTTTAGTTTGTATGTGTTGTGTGCGTTGTGGGTGGTGTGCGTAGTGTGTGGGGTGTGTGGGCAGGGTGTGGGCGGATTACCTATCTAGTGCAGCATAACATAGCACAACTTGTGTAAGAGAACGGTCCGCCGTAAGTGTTGCCTGGCTGAGGTAGTTGTGATAAAAATAAATATACAAATAAATGCAAGAGAGAGAGCATGCATTCTGGTATTTTATTTTTGCCAATACTCGCACACATGCACCCACACACACATACATACACTCACACTGATTTGAGTCTAGTGCTAGTTGGGCCCACGCTCGTCTTTCATGCATGCCTGCTTATCCTGTGCGTGTGTGTGTGGGTTAGGAGGCATCTTTGTCATTCAATTCAGAGCCGGTGGCTGCAGTCGGCTTACGCGACATGTGTGAGCCAAGCCCCCGCCTGCCACCTTCCCACTTGCCCCTTGGCCCATGCACCCAGCCTCTTGCCGCTTGAGTCGCGCTCTGCAAATGCGTCTATAAATTATTCATTTCGTTTGAGATGTTTGATGTGGCAATGCCTGAGACTTCTTTAAGCATGCCCAACACATCCTGCCCCGGCTGTTGCAATCCTGTTCGTCTCCTTGTTGCCCAAGACTTCAGCTGGCTGCGAGTTGGGTGCAAACGGGCACTTTTACCCGCATTTCATTGAATTCATTCATTTTTTAGCAGCTTCTGCCAGCAACGATTTCATCTCTCTTTTTTTTCCAGCAGTTTTTGCTGCTGTTGTTATTGCTGTTGCTGTTTGCCACAGCTTTGCATAAATAAGATAAACACAAGTATGCGCCCATACCATGCGGAGCTGAGAGGCTACTCCTCGCCAGCCGCACCCCCCTGTGCCCTCTAAAACTGAAGCATCTTGCAAGTTGGACTCGACTGATGTGATTTATTTTGCACTCACTGTTTGCCAAAGTAAAATTGATTGAAGCGTTTGTTGGCGCACCAATTGATTTTCACTACGGCATTTGCCCGCACTTTCATCCCAACTTCCCCAACATTCCCCCCACACACACACTTCGCCGTGGTTCGTCCTGTTTACATTGGTTAAATTAACTTTGGTCAATTTGGTTTTTGTCCGATTGGCCGAGCATTGCACTGAGCCCCTTTCACGCTACTCAATCCACAATTCCAGCCTTCGTCCACGAATATGTATAGAATGCAATGGAATAATTGCTTGGTTTGTAGAGCAGAATTTTGGGCTTGTTGTGGCTTGTTAAAAAAAGGCAGAGAAAGCTGGGTGAAAAGCTTTTTTGAGTCAAGGGGTAGAAGTTTATTTTATTAATAGATATTTACAAGAAAATTCTATACCGCTCTGAAATATACATTTACTTATCCCGCCCGTTCCGATATCGCGCGAAATTTGACTCTTTTTAGATTCATGCTATAAATATTAATTAGTAAATACCGAAATTTTTAAAATTTCAACCTGCAATAGATACATTTATACATCTTTACTTATTCACTCACACAGTTAATGCTAAACGTACGATTTATTTCTTTGATATATATAATAAAGATTTTGTTAATGAAAAAAATGAAAAGTTTTGTTTTGGGATGGGACACTTTTTAATCATGGTTTAAGCTATGTTTGTATTTATTAGATTGAACTTTTATATATCAATATATATTGGTCGATTTCGATCAATCTTGGGGTTTGGTGTTCTTTGTTTTAATTCTCATAAAACCTAGGTGCTTTCAAGTAAGTTGGCTTTGTGTAGCTTGTAGGAGGTGCAATTGGAAAAAATTACAAAAATATATCTGCTTCCTTTTAGCAAAATAATTTGTATTTATTTGTTCTTTCTATTAGGAAGCTTTTGCAGTGTTCACTATTGTAACTTTTATTGTTTCATTGAGTAAATTTTGCTTCCAAATTATTACCCACAACGAAAAACTAAAACGAGACAATCAAATGCCAGGTCAGTTAATTGATCTCAATTGGGGCTACAATCATGCGAAAATAAACAAAAATCGTTGGCGCTGGTATTTGATTAGGAGTCAGAATGAATACGAATTTTATTTTCGATTTGAATCGAATTCAATCGAACCGATCATATTTTCTTTGGTTATCGAAACGTTTGGGAATTTAAATAAAGTTTCGGAGATGCAGAACATATTTCTAACATAATTTTCTTAGCTTGCCTTTTATGAATTTATCCTTAAAAAAAGTTCTTCATCTAAAAATAACAGAAAAATTGTCAAAACTATTATTTAAATGTGAAAGCTGCCAATAAAAAAGTCTTAGGCTATGCTAACAGCCAGTCATCTAGTCGATTAAGAAACCAAACCAAACTAAACACTAGCAATTAACACTCGATTAGCCGATTAATTACAAAATTGGACAGTTAAGAAAGATGTATGTGTGTGTGTGTGTGTGTTGTTTTTTTTTTTATATTCTGCCAATTGGTTTGGCTGGAGTGTTGGGTTTAATTGCTGTCGAGCGCTTGTTAAATGCTTTGCAGTTAAAAGCGCTGCCGTCAGTTGCAAAAATGGCAACAATTCATCACATGTCGTGCTGGCTGTGATTTTATTAAGTGACGCTGATGGTGATTGAAGCACAGCTGGCACATCAACACCTGGCACAGGTGCAGAGGTACAGGTACAGGCGAAACAGGAGCCGGCACAGCCAGAAGCCCGCCGTCTGCACCCCGTGCGGCACGAGCTGCAGGCCGCATAAATCTTGGCTGTCAACTGCAGAGCATCCCAAATAGAAGAAAGAAGAGCAGAACGTCAAGTAAGAAACAAACAGGCAGCAAGTAAGTGCTGCCAGGCATCGATGAAACAAATTGCGAGCGGGCATGATAATTATGCAGCATGTATAATATTAGAGCCTCCATATATGTATGTATATATATATATATATATATATATATATATATATATATAAAGAAGCAGCGACACGCAACTGTAATGACATTCCATTTTATGAATGGGCATTTATCATAATTAAAAATTCTGCCTTTTGCCGGCAAGCAGCGATTGCCGCAGTCGCAGCCACGACGTTTCTGACCTAAGACATGCCACAACGAGTGCGTCACGAGGACGATGATGACGACGACGTCGACGCCGACGACAAGGACGAGGACGTGGCTGACTGGCGTATATTAACGTTTAGGCCCATTGCTCCATTGGCTTCATTTCAACAGCTCAACAGCTGTTTGGCTTGGGACACGCTTTTGGGACTCTGGCATGCAAATGAGCAGCAGCTAACTGTGGCATTGGAAGCATGCCACACACACGCACACACACACACCCGCTCTCACTCTTTTAGGAAGCCTGTTGGTGTTTTGCCGTCAGAGCGCATGCGTCGCGTCCCAAAAGCCTCAAAAACACACCCAAAATGCCAGCGCGCTCTTAAGTATGCAACACTTTTTGCCATAAAACACGCTCTCGTTGTGCCCGACTGCGTAGCTCTCGGCTGTGCGACTCGGCTCGGATGTGTGGCAGCTACTTCGGCTGCGGCTGCGGCTGTGGCAGCGGCTCGTTAACGACATGTCGCCACTTCGCATGCCGTTGTCGTTGGCTTCAGTTGTGCTAGCAGCTTGCCGCGTGTTCTCGTCCTCTTTGTGCTGTCGCTGTCGTTTGTCGTCTTTGCCGTCGCCTAAGTCAACGTGGCGTATGCTCAATTTGATCAGTGATTAAGATGCTGCATTTGCCGCTAATCGAATGAGCCGAGTGCCGTGTGCCGTCGCGCCAATGCCAAAAATATTAAGTGCCATATGAATACACACAAAAGTGACGCCTAAAGGGCTGGCGGGTTGACGGTTTGACGGTTGACGGGTTGACAGGCAAACGGTTGACGCCTCAAGCGTCTGTTTGGCAATCGCAAATTTTTGCCGCGCCATGTGAATTTCAACAAAAACAACAACAGCAACAACAACAACCAAGTCGTAATCAGTTTTGTCTTGCTGTGTGTGCGTGTGTGTGAACATGCGTAGCTCGCACGCATGTGTGTGCGTATGTCAGCGTGTGTAATCCAAGAAAATCTGTCACGTGCTTCGGATATCTCTTTGTGCAACTCCACACGCAACGTACTTATTGAATAAAATAAAAGGTGAGCAGCAGCAGCAGCAGCGGCAGCGGCGACAACTCGGATTACTAGGCGTATGAGTTATATGTGAGACAAGCACACGTTAAATATGCAGCTTATAGGAACGTGACATGTTAATAAAGCAGACAAATTTTTACTTTTGTTTATTTATTTTCATTTCATTTGTGTTGGAACTCAGTAATTGAATAGTTGCATACATTAAATATTAAATAGTTGAATTTCAGATTTAAAATATCTATCAATATTAAGAACGCTAGGCCTAAAACAATTACCAGTCTAGTGCAAAGGTTCGGCAACTCTGGGGAATATTCGCGTGCTGATACATATTTGCGTATTCCAGCTAGTTGATATACTCCTAAGGGCTTTTTAATGACATTCTAATTATGGTCAAGCAAACATGTTGATAAAAAGCCAAAGATAAACATTGGTTTATGTTGTTTATTTCAATTAATGTTGTGCTTTCTGTAGATATCGTAAATGTATTATCATATAGTATAAATGTATTATATAAATGTACTATCAGGCTTTATACCTGAAGACAAAAATAATGAAAAACATGTTGATGTTTTCGTGTACAAAGATATTTCAAGATACTTATATTTTTTAACTTTTTAATTATATTTCAATATTTTTATAACTTTTGATTCTTTAAATCATAAAATATGAATGTATTGATAAAGACAAATAATAGACATAAATAATAAATATATTTGTGTTCTGTTTCCCAGTCTACCAATACACAAATATATTTAAGTGTAGATATATACAAAGAAATAGTTTTCTCTGCCTAAAAGACGCGTACGTTAGCAGAGTTTTCACTGTATAATATTTATATAGCTTATATATTGTATACCCATATATTTTTGCTTATGACTCGCATAATTTAAATATAATCTTCCGCTAAATTTAACCATTTAAAATTTGATAGATACTTTCGTTTAACCTTTCGTTAACGACTGGTTGATTCCTCGACCTTTGCGCAGGTCCCCGCATTAACAGCGTTTAACGTTCATTTTCCTAAGTTGGCCCCGAAATTAAATGACAAAATTTGATTATTTTTATGCACGCAAGAAACGTATTTATAGTGCCCCGCCGCCCCCAAGCCCAGCCAACAATTTAACCGAAAACCCCAAAAGCATAAAAATGAAACGCAACTGGCAACCGGGAACAGGTGCCTTCACACTGGCAACTGGTAAACTTTTTCCCCCAATTGTTTATTTAATAGCTATGAAAAAATCATTAGGCATTTTTATCACACAACTTCAAAGCTGAAATTTACATGAAAATGCCCAAAAGAACTTTTTAATCCACAAAAAAAAAAAGGAAAGAAAATTAAACTTATAAAAATTAAATATGATTTTGAATGCAAAACGAATTGACAAGCCAAAGTGCCCGTTCGTCTTATGCATTAACCTCATTGTGATGAATTTTATATGGATCGTCTTTTGCCTGCGAGCCAATGCAATTTACGCTCGCACATTTTTAAATTGGCCATGTTTTCTGGTTTGTCGCGTCCGCGGTTCGACAATACTTCAAGTTCATTGTGCATGAATAATGTAGTTGTTGTTGTTATTAATGCTGTTGCTGTCAGGCAACACACACACACACTCCCTTGCTGGCCTTTTTATGCCATATAATTTGATTCAGCTTTTGTTTGACACAGTCTGTCGTCAACTTTTGTACTAGTGCTCAACTGTTCGTTAGCTGTTGGCCAACAACATGGGAATTGCGGCTGCAAGTGTGTCACTTGCATCGCTGAACTTTTTATTTTATTTCAGCATTTTATTTTATGTTTTTTATTCAGTTTCTCTCCTGGCACATGAGTTGATAATGAATGTGTTCGAGCACCCGCACACACAATGTCGACCACAATGCTCCATTTTATTGGTTAAAACAATTGTACTTGATTCAATTAATTGTTGTGCTGCCGCAAAAAATAGCTAACTCCACCTATTTTCTTCTATTTACACATACTTTATCACTCGCCAGAGCTGTCACTAGCAGATGTGTTCATTTTTACTGGTTGACGTTTATATACAAACTAAAAATATATATTTATTTACAATCGATTTTTTTGCGGATAAGTTAGAGTAATAATTGAATAAAATAAAATGACGAAATGTTAACTTTCAACATTTTTTAGAATTTTATGTTCAATATTAACAGATACTTCAAATATGATCTTAGCATGAGTTAAAAGTTGGGCTGGGCTTAAAATCCCAACAGCACAGTAAAGCTTAGAAATTAAGGAGGTTTTTAAAACATAATTTGAGTATTTTATTTAAAATGGAGAAAATGGCTATAAATTCTTCAAATAATAAAATTCATATTTTTATAAGAATCAGAATTTAAGCCAATAAATCTATCGAACTTTAAGTCTGGGCTCTGCTGCTGCACGGACACAATGCTGTATTCATTGTAATCGGATATATAGTCCACTTTTTAAATGCTGTACATCATTTGTAAAACTGTCCAGAACTTGGAACAATGCAATGGCAGACAAAAGGCCAACAAATTTCATGAAAAGTGAGGTTCAATCGCACTTTTCATTATTTACCCAGTTTTTTGTTTGTTTGTTTGATGTGCCTCGGCTCATCCCCTCATTTGACGTTTGTTCTAGTTTATCTTTTAAAACTCTGTTTTGTGCCTTTGCGTGATTTTGAACTACGATTGCAGTTTACCATGTGGAAAACGAAGCATTCACAGCAGGAGCGGGAGCAGCCACTGCTGCGCATCTTGGAAATTTCAGAATAATAAGGAAACTAACGAGCCAAGACTTTTCCATTGTTTACTGGCACAAAAATTGCGCGATTATTAATTTTCTATGCTATTTTGTAGCACTACTCTATATATATATATATATATTTTTTTTTTGCCGTACCGTCTACTGCAGCAGCACATCCTGTGCCGCTGTGCGGCTCCTTTGCCAGTGGCTGCCGCCTGCTAGACGCTGTCGACACTTCTTCGTATTATTTCGCTGCCCGCCGCTGCCGCCGCCGCTGTCGTCGTTTGGCCGGGTTTTCTGGCTCTATTTATGCTGCCTTTGGCAGCAGCATTTTTAATATTTTGCAATATTTGCCACGTTTTCTTTCTGCCTGCTGCGTCCTTCCGCCTAGCGAGCACTGAGCCAGGACGCGAATGTTGCCAGTCGCTCGACAGCAGCTGTGAAGTTGGTTTTTCGTTTCTTTACCCTTGAAGAGAGTGTTAAAATTCTTTCGTTTAGGGTGTAATGCATAGCAGAAGTCGCGTCAGATCCTATAAGCCATATGTTCTTGATCAGTATCAACAACCGCGTAGATATACCCATGTCCGTCCGTCGATAGATCTCCACCAAACTCAACTAAAACCCGCTTCGCAATTCTTCTCTCATATCTGCATAAGCGTAAGCCATATGACTAAGGGTATTTGTTCTTCAACGTGCCAAATTCAACCGTTCTTTTTTGTATTTTTTGTGTTCTTTGTAAAGCGGAGTTCATTGCTTGCCCGGCAAAGAAGGCTCCACATGCAGGCTATACTTATTCAGGATGTACTTACTTATACTCACACACACACACACACACACACAAACGTACACACACACTCACATGCGTGTGTGTTTTACTTACTGCCTTCTCTTTAACTGACACATTTTCGCGTTGCTTCACAAAGTCTTAAAGTTGTATGTGCCTTTCTGCAGTCATCAATTAATAAAAAACGTTGCTTCCGCTTGTATATCATGTCTTTGAGGGCAAAGTGGAAATATAAGAAAATTAAGATACAAAAAAGTAAAGTCGAACTTGGCAAGCCGCAGATATAAAAATTAAGTTGCAATGGAAAAAGGCCTGTAGAAGAATATTTAATATAATTTCTTCTGCAATATATAAAAGTATGTTTCTTTGTAAATATGTGTTTTTCGATTGAGAGCGATTATTATCGATAATTAATGCAACTATGACTTTAAGAAATAAAGCAATATGGAAAAAATTTTATTTTTGGCCCTCTTAAATATTTTTTTCCAATCCCAATTAAATCATATTAGTGATTATACCTTGAGCTCTAGAGGGTTAATCCATCCAGCAGCATTGCTTAACGATATCATATATTTGTTTTTTTAAAATAAGAATGATTTTATTGTGGATATTGTAGATATGTTTTTATCGATCCAGAAAACATTGCTTATCGATAGCATAAATTGTGTTGCAGTCTGATAACTTGAAAAACCTGCAAATATTTGTTAAATTATCAAAAAGCCGAATCAACCTAAAAATAGGTCATGCAAACAAATAAGTTCACAAAAAATTGAACACAAAAAAAAAATACCTTTTTGCAAGCAATACAAAACATCTATAAACTTTTTATTGGCTGTGGCAATTAATTAAGCCATTCGAGTTGGATATTCCATATTCATTGCCATAATTCGCATAAATTGTGAATTTTGTTAGAAGGGCGGCGGGCACTGGGCGAGGACATTATACAAATGTTTTATAACAACTGTTTTTTATATATGTAATAACAAAGGCAATAAATTGTGCTCTCTCTTTTTCTCATGCTTTTTCAGGTGAGTGCTGCAGGGGCAAATGAAACTTGGCAGCTTGTGGCCCACAAGTACAAATACAAATACAAACACGAATACGAATACAATACAAATACAAATTGTCGCTGTCGGATGGCCTTCAGTGGCCGCTGCATTCGTTTATTTGGCATTTGAGCGTATGTAAATAAATTTTTAATTTAAAATAAACATGGTTATTAAGTTAGGCCCTACCCTTGCGGGCGCAACGTGTGTGTGTGTGTTCAGTTCCTGGCAATATCCGCAGTGCAGGGTCTAAAAAAATCGTATATAAATCGTATATATATAAAACTGCGAAACGGCATCAAATCCAATTAGTTAATATGAATTTTTGATGAAATCACTTCCGCTTCAAATGCAAAAAAGTTTTACGCCTTCTCACCGACCCGTGCAACACCCGTCATCATCATCATGATGATAATGACTGCGTTATTTAAGTTTTTTTTTTCGCAAC